ACCAAATTCAGTAGCATAGGTGGACACAAAATCAGCACACAAAGGTCAACAGCATTCCTGTACAGTAATAATGAACTCACAAAGAAATTAGGAAAGCAGTGCCATTCACAAAAGTGTCAAAAATGAAATACTTAGGAATTAAACTAACCAAGGAAATGAAAGACCAGTACAATGAAAACCATAGTTCTCTGAAAAAGGAGATCAAAGAAGATGTCAGATAGAAAGATATCCCTTTTCCTGGTCAGGCAGAACCAATGTTGTTGAGATGGCCATACTTCCAAAACCAATGTACAGATTTAATGCAGTCTCGATCAAACTACCAAAAACATTCCTCACAGAACTGAGAAAATAATCCTAAAATTTGTATTAACCCAATAGCAAAAGTAGTCCTATGCAACAAGAGCAAAGTAGAAAGCATCACCACTCTGGACTTCAGAGTTATAATACAAAGCTGCAGTGGTTACAAACAGGATAGTGTTCACAAGATAGACATGTGGATCAGTGGAATAGAATAGTGGAAGCAAAACTAACTCCTGGTACATTCAGCTATCATGTCTTTAACAAGGGGGCTAAAAGCATACTCTGAAGGAAGATACTCTCTTTCAACAAATGGTGTTGGGAAAACTTGCAATCCATATGTGGAAGACTGAATCTAGACCCATAAAATGCTCTGGGCCAACACCCTTCCTCTTTTGTGCCTTGTTCACATGCTGTTTGCCTTATTTTGTGACAAGAAGGCCCTCAATAGATGACAGCACCATACTTGTGGACTCCTTAGCCTCTGGAATTGTGAGCCAAAGGAGCTCCTGTTGTTTATAAATTTCTTCAGCAGAAATTGGACTGAAAAAGGACAGTCTCCCTTGCTAGGTATACTGATTCACATGTTAATTTCACTTATAATCACACCCAGAATAATTTTTGGCCAACTGTCTGGACACTCTATGGTCCAGTTAGGATGACACATAAAATTAACTGTTGCAAGTACACAGACGCTCAGAGAACAGAAATTACTGGCACTTACATGTGGAATTACGGTACATGGGAGAAAAACAAGAAATGTAATGAGAGTGAGGATATAGGGAAAATCTGACTCTACCAAGTGGTAAAGACCATATTCATGTTACATAATAGTGAATTATTATAGATCTTGGAACAAGACTTTGAGCATTATATTTGAGGAACATCGTTTTAGCAGTTATATCTATTATACACAACAATTTGGAAACACTACAACTTAGAAACTAGTTAGTAAAATTTCCCAGTGGCCCGGATTGAGGTAAATTCTGTGGAAGTAGACAGCACATTTCATGGTTTTGGGCAGTTTAAAAACAAGAAAATCAACAGAAGCTGAGAAACGTGTTATAAAGTGGGGGAAACAATTTGAAAATTAATGTCATTGACAGCAGAAGGAATTTATTTGTGGAATCAAAGGTGTGAGATTTGAGATGATATGTATGGTGTACCTTGTAATATTCTACCATTTCATAAAATGATTAAAATGCAAGCATGCTGAGTTTTAATGTTATGTGATTTTTAAAACTTTTAAATAGTTGTTACAAGTATACATTATTAGTTTACTCTGAAGAATAGAAATATTTATCAGAAAAATTGAAGTTTATAACAATTGCTATTGTGGTAGAATAATTATGTCTTTCAGCAAAATATTTTACTTAGCTGCAAATAAACCTTTACATGATTACTAGTCCTGTATACTTATCCATATAGTTAAAAAAAACTTGTATGCTTATTATATTAGTGACTAGGCTTAAAATACTGCTCTGCTGTGTAATTTTTAATATATTTTACAATACAATTAAATATACACTATTTTATTTGTAGTAAAAATTATATATGCATTGCTATTTCATATTAGTTTAATTACTGCCAGAAATATTTCACTGGCTGTAGTGAGTAATGACTTAGAACTTCCATTTATTTTTATTTATTTATTTTTCTCATTGAGTTTATTGGTACATTTTAGGTATACAGTATAGTTATATTCATCATTGGGATCTTGTACCTTTACATAACAGATCTTTGTTCTCATTTTTCCCCAGATCCCTGTCCTCCCTTCACCCCCTCCTCCCTTCCCTATTTACAAAAACTTTATTTACATTTTTTTGCTTTCTCATATCTTTTTCTTGTCCCTTATTTCCTTTCCCCTACCCTTCCCACTTTCCCTACACTTTTAGCCCTTTTCTTCCTATTTCACATTATCAATTATACCATTATTTATTATTATAGTTTTCACACCAAAGAAACTATTATTTACACATATGTGACTTATTTATTTCACTGAAGAGCATATCCTTAGTATGCATCCATTTTCCTATGAATGACTCTAACTTCTCATTCTTTTTTTTTAATTGAGTTTATTGGTACATTTTAGGCATACAGTACAGTTACATTCATTATTGGGATCCATTTATTTTTAATAATCATGAAAGTAAAATATTGCTTATAATATAGAATCGACTTTTGTGTTTTTGAACCCAGGATGTAAAACATGGCCAGGCAAGTCTTCACCCACTGAGCTATATCCCAAGCCCTTAAGAAATTTTCATTTCTGGTTTGATACAAGATCTCACTAAGCTGCCCAGACTGCCCTGGAATTTGTAATCCTCCAGTGTTAGCTTTCCAAGTAGAACTTTGTTTTCTTGACTCTGGAGATCTTAGGAACATAAGAGATACTGATTTCCTGTTTCTAGTATTGTTTTCATATTAAATGCACTAGTCTTTAGCTTAGTACCTTGTGAATCTGGACTGCCAAGTTTCTAACCTGTTTTTTAAGATAGTGTTGTTTAAGAGGGGTTGACCCCACTATTTGGCTGATGAACATAAGCAGAAATTTTTAGATGTAAGCCAGTAATACATGTTTTGATGTGGATTACATTAGCTAATGAAACTTCTCTCTTGCCTTAGTAAAGTCAGAGTTTCTTCAGGGCTGGGTGGCCTGGGCAAAGTAATAGTGATCTTTTCAGTCACAGAAGCCTGCTCAGCAGACAGAGCCCAAGCCATGGTAGGGAGAGCCTAGTATATTCATTAAAAGATATAAGAAAATTGTGTAGAAGAATAGCAAAGATGAACTGATCCTGTTACATGAGACAGGGTTTTAAGAAAGTGATTTAAAATGTTGCACTCTTGCATGTTTTTGTTTTGTTTTGTTTCCAGTACTGGGGATCGAACTCAGGACCTTGTGCTTGTGAGGCAGGTGCAGTGCAGCTGAGCTAAATTTTGATTAATTTGGTTCTTTTTCTTGTAATTGTGTCTGTAAATTCATTTTGTATTATCTGTATGTAGTATGGATAAACCATTGATTAATTGGGAACACTATTTGGCAACATGTATTAATTCTGATCCTTTTTGGCATATGTGAGATTATTATATCTGTATAAGTATTTTTCATTTTTCAAATTATCCCGTTCTTCATTTAAGAAAATAAAAAATAGGCCAGGGATTTAGTCAGTGGTTCTGCTGCCTGCTTTGCAAGTGGAAGTACCTGAGGTTTGATCCCTAGAACCAAAAAACAAAATAAAATAAAAATAAATAAAAAGTTACCTCCCAGTGCTATCTCCTGGATCTAGGATATGTACCTTATATTCTTCACATTGATTGCCTGTATTTTAAACTCTACACAGAATTGTTTGAAAAGGGGTATGTACACATATTTCCCTGACACTTCCAGAAATATGTTCATGTCTACTGAAAACGGTTAACATTTCTTTTGGGATAGATAGGTCATCTTTTTAGAAACCTCTCCCCGCACAAAAAGTTTTTTTTTTAATGGTTCACAGTTAAATTTAAATTTCCAAATTTAGGTAAGATTATGTTTAGATACCAACCACCAGAATCCAGGAAGTTCAGTGGTAAAGTTTACACATCAGGAGTTTATAGTCTTTTTAGAGAAGGTTTGAAGCTTACTAGCGAAACCATTTCAACATTGTGCAGAACTTCTTTAGCACAAATGGACTATTTAATTTAATTTTTATTTAATTTATTTATATGATCATTAAGATAATACTGTGTCACTTTTTAAAGCTTGGCTGTTCAGACTGTATTAGATTTATTTCTTTCAAAGAAGGATGCATTGAGGAACAGCTTTTATATATAAATATTTTTATAATATTTCAGCTTGGGTAGAATTGGTTTGGTGCAATCAGCATGGTTTGATCAAATTTGGAGATGTTATAACCACATTTTTGTAGTGTTTTCTCTATCTTTATTTTTTTCAGATGGAGTATTTTATGTTCCTTACAACTAATCAAAATAAGAAGCTGAGTTTGCCTTTGCCAAAAACTAGAACTATCATTTTTCACATTCTTTTATTTTCCAGGTCATTTTCAAGTAAGATTGTGTTTCTAGGGCTTCTGGATTCCTGAAAACTATGACTTTGATGATATAAGGGCCCAAATAAACATTTCAGGAGGAATCTAACTTTTCATGCAACATATTTTGTGTTGTGCATTCCAGATAGTTAACTTTTGTATGCATGTGATTAGTGTGAAGAAAAATTAATGCCGTCCGGTATTATGATTTATGGACTGAATCATGTACCCACTGAAGACTTGCCAAAATGAAAAACATTTTTTTCAATTGGATATTAGAAACAGCTACTGTTTCTGTTGATCTTTTAAAGTTCTGAATGGGCCTATTTCAAATCATACCAGCATGAGGGCTCAGATTAATAATATACTTATTCACCTAGTGATACTGAGTAAAACCATTGCTCACATGGGTATGTATGAAGGATAAAATTTCATAAAATTATTTTCAGGTGCATTAATGCATGTATAAAAGCTCTGTGATTTTTCTTTTGCATGAAAGAAATCAAGGTTTTCTGTTTATTGTATTAGTTATAGGTGGACTCATAAATTAATTTAAATGCTTTTTTAATCTTAAAACATATGTCATTTTGCTTGATTATTCAGTATGTTTATCTCCCTTGAGATATCAAGATTGTATATTGTTTAAGAAAAATTCCTAAATTTCCTTCATTTTAGTTACAGCAAGCTGCAGAAGTTTCTCAGCTGCGGGGAGCAAGGGTAATCTCTGCTGAAGATCTTCTATTTTTGATGCGTAAAGATAAGGTAACAAAACAGTTTCATTATGTTAAATGCTAGGCCTGGTGCTTAATTGAAGTTAATAAGGAAGTTTATATGCTCTTGTTACAGCTTTCAAATTGGAATCATAACTACTGATGTTTTAGTCTTCATGGTTTATACAACAAAATCAGTATACTATATATAATACAATTAGTATTTTTTATAGGGACAGGCACTTATGGAAAACTGTGCTAACAAGTAATCCTCAGTATGAAAATGTCTGTTTAGACATTTTCATTGCTATATAATATTCAATAAATATTGACTGTATGCTCTGTGTTATAAATGAGATCTAACTGGATGGTATATTTATTTTTCTTTATATCTTAACATAATCAGGATTACAATCTTTCATATGCTAAATTTTTAAATACAGAGTTTATTCTGTGATTCTAGCCTACAGGAAAAAGCAAAATCAGTGAAGATGAGTATATGAAAAATGTAAACATATACTATAATATCTGTTTTTTATAAACTCTTGGTATCAATACATTTAAGTTGGTACTTGTGTCTAATTTTGTTGTAATTATTTCTATGAGCAGATAGTTTAAAATAAAGTACAATATTTTCCATGTCTTATTTAATCATTTCTTTGTTGATATAAAGAATGTAAAGGGAAAAATAGTCTTCATCAAGAAGCTTATGGTCTTAGGAAATCTGATGGCTTAGTTGAACAAGCCGCTGAAACTTAAGAGAATTTCAAGGTTGTGAGACTGGAGTTGTACAAGTGGAGAGCTCTGCCTAAGTAAGGCAAAGCTCACATACCTGTGGAGAATGAGCCAAGTGCAAAGAGAGGAGCCAAGGTCCTCGTTCAGTAGTCAGAGCGAAGTGGCCTGTGGCTCTAGGATTAGTAGGAAGGAAGAAATGGAGAGAAAGTGAGGAATCAGAATAAATCACCACAGTTTGATGACCTCTCTCTTGATACTTGGAGTACCACACAGAAGAGGTGCTTTGAGGAGAAAGCCTGGGTGATGTTGGCAGAAGAACAGGGAAATCTAAAAGATGCTTGCTATAGGCAACCAGAGAACACCAGGGTTGGCATGAGGACACTACAGAACATTTGCCAGAAGTAAAGAAATTGGCATACCCACACTGACACTTCTCTTTGCCCTTTGGGGAAGTACAAAATTAAAATCATATTGAAATGACAGGAATATTCCCTGCTTGACAGTGCTTTCCTACTGTCTAGGGGAACTCTTCACCAGAAGAGTTTTACTAACCAAGAACATAGAATTTTATTTATACACTGACATGTTCCAAAAAGAATTTAAACAAGCGTAGATGAGTAAAATATCAAACAAAATTAAAATACCAAATGGAATCAGAACAGAGAGAAAAGAAGGACAGCAAAAGATTTATGGGCTGGTATGCTTTTTGTCTTAATACAAGTAGAGCCAGTTTATATTCAAGCAGTATTTATTGGCTGCTATGTTTCACATATTGCACAAAGCAAGCATCACCTCACCTCATGAATTCCTCACAAAGGGGCGCAGTAGGCAGGTACTTTTCTTACTGTGCAAGTGAAAAACTAGTTACAAGCGTATGTACTATTTGTGGCTATGCTGAGCTTCAGTTGTGAGGCTACCTCTGTCTCCCTCTACCTAAAAAGATGATTAGATCTGTGTGTGTCAAATCTGTTGGAGATGTCAGATGATGCACATGTAAAGAGCTGTGTAAAATCAGTAGGATTCAGATATTGGAAATCTTGAGTTGGGGCCCAAGACCCTGGGTCCCATCCTAGTCTCAAAAGGAGAGGTGTAGGGATGTTAAACCTGAAAGTCAGACACTAGTGATAATACCTACTAAGTGCAATCTCAGAAAAGGTCTCAAAGTGGTATCAGTTATTTTTAAAAGTTAACGAGTTTTTTTTTACATAAATATAAAGAATATCATCCTGAAGACTTAATTATCATTCATATGCTATGAGTGTCCTAAAAAGAATAGTTTCCTAATGTAGGTTACAAAATGGTTTTTGGGAAGTAAAACATGAACTAACTCATCTAATGGAAAGATTTTCAGGGAAGAAAACAAACAATAAATGTTTATAACTAAATTTCTTAAAACTTTCTTAAAAGTATATAAAAAAATTCAAGAACATTAGCACACTTAATATGGGGAATGTGGTACTTATCACAGTCTCCAAAAACAATTTAAAGCTTTTATACACATAGAAAAGTAATTATTATGATTTTGGAACTCTGGATATTTTCAAATTAGAAGTACTTGTGTTTTAGCTTTTATATTTAATTTGGTGGCTGCATTTTATTTCATAGTGTTGCGCTATGGACTGCTGTTATCACTGGTGATCCTGTGATACTAGTTTCTTAAATGTAGTTATCATATTTTGTGAAGTGAATGTGTATATAAACGTTCTTACTTACATTTTTTTAGAAAAAGCTGAGAAGACTGCTGAAATACATGTTCATGCGAGACTATAAATCAAAGATTATCAAAGGAATAGATGAGGATGAACTTCTGGAAGGTAATGGGAACAAAATTATAAACTAAAAATGCAATGCCTTATGACCCATGTGTGGTGGATGACCTGTTTTTTATAATGTGAGGGTAGCTATTCCCATCATATAAAATACTGTATATGTGCTGCTTTTAAATAATATAGTTTGGAAATTATGCAAAAATGTAATTAGTTGGCAGTTTCATCTTGTGATCTTTCTGTTACATGACTTGATAACAATCTAGCATTTCAGTTCTTTCTATAATGTATACTACTTTATGTCAGACAATCATAGAAGTAAAAATCATGTAGATTCAGTTTAATTGATTTTTGCAAATGTGGTTTGCATATAGTACATGTAGGGAATCAATCATTTTTGAAATTGACACAGATTTTTGTTAATTCATCATAAGTATCTGATATATTTTATTCTATAAAATCACCTCATTTGTGCTCGCTTCAGCAGCACATATACTAAAATCACCTCATTCTGGTTTGTTAGTCCTGTGCAATTTAAAATCTAACAAAAAGCATAACAAGGAAAATTCTCTCTGAGTTCCCCATCTTAGAATATTTAGAAAAATATTAATGTTGCAAAATAAAATAGTGTTATTCTGAAAATAGATAAGTACTAAATAATATTTACTGAATCAAAATAGATTCACAGAACTTAATTTAGAAGTAATTTATTTGGAAGTGTTTTTGGAAATAACTCATATTAGAAACGCTTTTGGAAATAACTCATGTTTTTTATTGACTGTGTTCCTTGTTACAGTGGTATTTATTTTTAATTACATACATAGATAAATCAGGTAACTGAAAAAAAACTACTAGATAAAGGAGAATTTCAGAAAACTTGACTTTAAAAACTGAAAATAAACCACTTACTTTCATTTACCATCAACAAATCACTTGAAATAACTCCCAGGTTTTTCTGATTACCTATATTATGCATTATCACCTATTTAATAGTCTAATAGTTCTCATAGAATTTAATTCCTGGAATATAGTTCTACAGATGAGTTTACATGTTTCCTTTTATGGAGTTCACTAGGAATACAGACTTGGAAGGCAGCTATGCTAACTATTATACCACCAACGCCTCCAGGAATACAGACTTGAAGGGGAAAAAATACCTGGATTCCAGTCAATCCCAGTTCTCTGCTTTTTCTGTGTATTACTGGACATTCAGTTCTTTCATGTCTCAAGAGAGAAATTATACACATGGAGGTATTACAGAGTTAAGCACTTGGTAGCATGTCTGCCACTGAATGGGTAAGCCCAGTTGATACTGTGCTGTGAACACCTAAAAACTCAAACTAGAAACGTTATTATTCACTTGGGCTAATACCACCACATGAGTTTGATGCCCTTGCTCTTTTTATTCTACATCTTTCCACTTTATCTTCATTTGTAAGATCAGAATTTGTGTATCTTTTAAAAAGAACATCAAAACTTAAAAAATAGTTGACAGAAACTATAAGACAAAATACTCAGGTAAAGTACATATAAGCCTGAGATAGAACTGCCGCCCTGGTTCAGGTGGGCATTCTAGAAGTGAGCAATTCAGAGAGGAGGCTAGTACCTCTGAAATGCTAGCAAAAGGCAAAAGAGTAGATACCCTAGAAGTAAATAGAGGAAACAGGGAAAGACATAGCTAAGAAGAGCCCTCTTAGGGTCATCACAAAACTTAAAGGCTGAAACAGTTTGACTCTTCAGATAGGTCTAACATTATTTAGATCACTATGAGGATCAATGTATGCCAAAGGTATTATTAAAAACAGTTCAACCAGTGAGCGATTCATGAAAGCTAACAGCTGTATGAGGTACCAGTAGAGCCAAACCAGCAAGAAACCTAATGGTGATATCAGGGAAAATGACAGCCAGAGACAACCTGATTAAAGCCACAGTCACTCCTGGTGATGGAAAATGCACCCCATGGCCCTACTATATAATAAGCAGCATCAGAGGCTGCACATTACAAGCAGAGAGACCCTGTTGTACTTGCCCAGCCAACATAGAAACAACTAAATATTCTGAAGTGGCAACCAGCCCTAGAAAAGGGAGGGAATTATTATTAAGAGGTGTGATGATATGTTATCTAAAATGTCCATTTTCAACAAGAACAAAATACTAGACATAAAGAAACAAATATGATCTATTAAAAATATGAAGAAAATGAAACAATAGAAATTACCCTGTGGAGACCCAAATGTTGGACTCAGCAGACAAAATCTTCAAAGTAGCTATCAATATTGTGAATACCAGTATGTTCAGATTACTAAAGGAAATCATGTTTAAAGAACAGAAGGAAGATATGATGACAGAAAACAAATTGAGAATTTAGCTCAGTGGTTCTGCTACCTGCTTCAATCCCAAGTTCAATCCCCAGTACCAAAAAAAACAAAAACAAAAACAAAAACAAATGAACAAACAAAAAAAACCAAACTGAAATTATGGTGTTCATAAGCACAGTGACCACAATAAAAAATTAAATAGGGTGCCTCAACAGAAATTTTGAACTGACAGAAGGAAGAATTGGTGAATTTCAAGACATCATTAAAGATTATACAACCTGAAGAGTCAAGAGTAAAGAAAAATTAACAGCTTCAGAGAAATGGGGGGGGCATCATGAACTGTATCACCGTGTATATTATGTATCAGAAGGAAGAAAGGGGAGCAGAAAATAAGTATTCAAATAAATAATGACTGAAGATTTCTCAAATTTGATAAAATTGTTAGAATACATATCCAGCCATCTCAATAAACTTCGGTGGAATAAGTTCAAACAAATCCACTCTGATGCCCATTATAGGAAAGACAGAAAATCATGCCGGCTACCAGAAAAGGTATTTGAAAATGTGACCTTTGGGAAGTGAGTGTATTGTGAGGCTAAGCCTCAGGAACAGTAGTGCCCTTCTAACCAGAGATGAGCGAGGTTCCTTCCTCTCAGATGGCGGGCACATGGCCATTTGCAAACCAGAAAGCAGCCTTTACCAGACACCAGATCTGCCAGCACTTTGATCTTGGCCTCTCAACTTCCAGAACTATGAGAAATAAATGTTTGTTGTTTAGACCACCCAGTTTATGGTATATCCGATATAGTATCCTGAACAATCATCTCAGAAAGGCCCCAAGTTAATGGTGAAGGTCTGATACGCTCTCCCCAAACATTGCAAACAAGACAAGGATCTGCGACTGTGCCACTTACCGTGCAGCACTGTGCTTAGGCAGGGAATGAAACAGAGGACATCTAGATTGAAAGAATTAGTATCTGTCTCTAGATGACATGATGTCATATATTTAAAGAATTTAAGGAATCAAAAGCTTTTACACCTAATAGACAAGTTCAGGATGTTTTCAGGATACAAGATATAACAAAATTAAGTATATTTTTATACACTAATGATGAACAATCCAAAAATTAAATTAAGAAAACAGTCCCATTTTCAGTGGCAACAAAAAGAATAAAATACTTTGGAATAAAATTTACCAAATGCTTGCCAACACTGAAAACTACAAAATATTGTTGAAAGGAAGAAATGCTTAGATGAAAATAAAGATATACTGTGTCCATGAATTAGAATACTTATGTTGTTAAAGTTGTACTCACCAACTTGATCTACAGACTCCATATCCTTTCTGTAGAAATGAACAGGCTAATTCTATCACTCATATGGAAATGTCAGATTCTGGCATGGAAATGACTCATTTTCTAGGTTATCCACAGCCCAGAATAGACAAAACAATCTTGGCAAAGAATGAAGTTGGAGGCCTCTTACATATGCATTTCAAAACTTACTATAAACCTACACTAATCAAGACAGGATGGTACTGGCATAAGGACAGTCATATTGGTCAACAGATTGGAATAAAATTGAGTCTAGAAATAGGTCTTCACATTTAGAGTTAACTGATTATGGCAAAGGATTCAGAACAGTGTAACAGGGAAAGAATAGTCATTTCAACAAACATGCTCAGACAACTGTATATTTACAAGCAAAAGAGAATTTGACCTTTTCATAACAAAGTACACAAAAGTTAATGCAATGTAGACCACAGACCTAAATGTAAGAGCTCAAAGTGCAAAATTTCTTAAAAAATAAAGGAGTAAATATTCATAACATTTTGTATAGTAAAGCATTCTCAATATGGAACACTTAAAGTTCAGTCAGCAAAAGAAAAAAATAGGTAAATTAGACTTGATCAATTTTAAAACTTTCGTGCTTTTCTTTTTTTTGTTATTGGAGAATTAATGCAAATTTTATTTTAAAAACACCACATTTTCAACCTTGCCACTTTATTGAATTATTTTGTCATTTCTTGCAAGGTGTGTGTGTGTGTGTGTGTGTGTGTGTGTGTGTAGTCTTTAGGATTTTCTGCATTTTAGGTACATGCCATCTGTAAATAGGGATTTTTTTTTTTTATTGAGTTCGTTGATACATTTAAGCTATACAGTACAATTACGTTCATTATTGGGATCTTGTACCTTTACAGGACAGGTCTTGGTTCTGAACACTTTGAAGAACATGCAAAGAGCCTAGAGACTGGTGGAAATGTTTGCATATTATAAATTTAAATTATGTGTAGAATAGGTAAAGAACTCTTACAACTCAACAATACAAAGTCAATTGAAGAATGGACAAAGGATCTGAGACATTTCTCCAGAGAACATTTATTAATGCCCAATAGATAGTGGAAAAACTGCTCAGTATCACTAGCCATCAGGAGAATGCAAGTCAAAACCATAGTCACGAACTACTTCATATGTACTATGATGGCTGTGATAAAAAAGACAGTGAAAAGTCCTGTTGGGGTGAGGGGAGTTGGAGTCCTTTCATGTTCTCAGTGGGAGTATAAATGGTGTGGCCACTTAAGGAAGCACTTTGGGAGCTCAAGAAGCTAAATACAGGTATACCAAGTGAACAGAAGTTCAACATATAGTGCAGTGTAATGAAGATGAGTGAAAATAAATATCCACATAAAATATTGTACATGAATATTAATAACAGTATAACTCACAGTAGAAAAGTGGAAACAGCCCAGATGTCTCAAGTAATGTATACATAAATAAATAGGAATATTTTTACCAAGGAATAAAATTTGGCAATAAAAAAGAATTAAGTACTGATGCATGCTAAAACATAGATCAACCTTGAAAGCAGTTAGTAAAAGCCAGTCACAAAGACCACATATTTTATTCTGTTTACATGGAATGTCTGGTATGGACAAATCTAAAGAGACAGAATGTAGAGTAGTTTCCTGGAACTGGGGGCAGGGAGGATTGAGATGGGGAATCATTTAAAAGTCCATCCTTCTGGTTTGACCTGCACCTTTGACTATATTTGCATCTGACTTTCTCAAACTCTTAAGTCCCTAAAGATTTAACTGTTATATAAAGGCCCATATTCTGCCCTCAAATGCATGTTATACATAATTAATAGTGCCTTATTAAAAGCTGCATAATTTAGACAATGGCTGGCTTAAAACTGATTTTTATAGAGAAAAAAATCATGTAATTATAAAGAGAATTGTCCAAAAATCGTTTTTCTATTTGAGGAACATTTTCCTTTCTAAATATTTATTGGAAAATATTCAAAGTGGACACTCATTATACCTAAATGTCAGTAGTTGACAATGTTCATGATATCTTTATTTGCTACAACAGCATGTAATTAGCCACATTAACACAATCAAGTACTTTCACACTTGCTGAATTATGATATTTTTATGCATTAAGTTTACTAACCTGCTGTTGAAATATTTATACCTCTTCCTGACCTTATGCAATAACTTTCTCAGCATTATGTTTTGCTTTTAAAGGAGCTAATGTTATAGGTCTTTGGCAACTCTGGGACTTAGTTTACCACCAGTCCAGCTTCAGAGTCCCAACCTACAAAACTGAATGAATGAGTGTCATGATAGCTTTATCACCTAAGAGAAAGTAAGATTCCTTTAGGTTTTAAATGTAGTGCCACAGTAATATACATAGCATTTTCTTTTCTTTTTAATTTCAGATCTTGGTCTTGTGATTTTTTTTATTTGTAAGTTTTTAAATTTTTGTAATTAGCCTTACCACAATCCATCTATTTTTTTTCTCTAAGCAGCATTTCCTTTTATTTATCCTCTGAATTTTAAATTATATTTCCGAATTTATCTTTATTAATTTCTTCTTCCCATTTTCCCCCTAGTTTAAGTTGGACTCTTAATTAAGTATTTTTAATCATTCTTGTGGGGGTTTTTGTTGTTGTTTTTCAGTGTTACAAAGTGAAACCAGGAATTTTACACTAAGCCATATCCCCAGGCCTTTTTATTATTATTTTTTTTTTCATTCTGAGACAGAGTCTCACTAAGTTGCTAAGTTAACTAGGCTAGGCTTGAACTTGAGATCCTCCTGCCTCAGGCTCCCAGAGTTCTGGTATAGGCATGGGCCATGCCCGGCAGAAAAAGTCACCTGGGATAGTTCTTACAAGAATCAAATCTATAACATTGAGGTTATTAGCACCACATAACTGAGCTAACCAACATGATCTTTCCTTTTTCATTACATCTGGGCTGAAAATTTACTTCTGAGTAGAATTTTCGCTACAGCTAGGATATTTGATGGAAATGTTCTTTTCATTAATTTTTAGATTTTCTATGATTGGAATTTTGATTACTCTTTCTGCTTTTCAAACAAGGGTGTTTTTAAATTCCCCTGTAGATTCACTTCCATTTTGGGAAGATTTTATTATTACTTTTATTATCACGCTGACTTAAAATTTCTACCTTTTGGGAGTCATTAAAATTTTTATTGGGTGCAGGTATTCTCAGACTGATAGCTGCTGTGGCTCCCTTTTCCTGTTTCCTATTCCATTCTCTTGTGCTCCAGCCAGAGCACACAGAGCTTGCTGAACTGTAGTGCAAGCATGGCTGTAGCTATGTAGCAGCCTCTGTGAGTCAATCTAGCTGAGACTGTTTTCACTGTGGTCAAAAGCAGCAAGCAGGAGGCTGGAGTAAGGCCAGGAGGTGGCATACATTGGAAAGTGCTTGGCTTCGGGGTTCTGAGAGCCTGCAGAGGTTGGCATGGACCCCAGAGCAGGCTCTAAATGCTTATGGATGCAAAGGATCTGCCTGGACTGAACTCTTCTATCATTCATACTGAACAAATGTTATAAAAGAACTTGTTTGATAATATTAAAATGTTAAAATTCTTTTGGGCAAAATTACCCTAAAATTAGTAGGTAAATAAAAGGATACGAAAAATTTATTTTATTCAGGTAATAGGATGATTTAAAAAAGCTCTTTTAATTACCAAGAAAAATAACCCAATTGGAAATGGATAAAGGAGAAAATCAAACAGTAAACAGAAAGACTGATCCAGGAAAAGGTGAGAATAGGATTCAATTTAATGGTAGTTAGGGAAATTAAACTTTCAACCCCAGTTAAATCTTATCCAACATTTTCTATGTAGAGAGAAGACCATCCTCATGATTGGAATTGTGAAGGGTTAATGTAGAAAATAGAGATCTAGTAAAATTTAAAATGTTTGAAAACTTTAACTCAGCAGTTCTACTCTGGTTTCTGTGCCATAAGACCAAAGCCACACATACAGAAGACTACATGAAAGGGATGTTTACTGCAGCATTTGCCCCACTAGCAAAAATTTGTAACAAGGTGTATGACCATCAACAGGGGGCTGGTAATTGGTTAGAAAGCTGTGCTACCTACATATTGTAAAATAGTATGTGGTCCTCACAAAGGAACCAAGCCTGTATTCTATCAGTGGACTCAGATTGCTGTCATCAGCTAAGAAATGTGAAATGAAGAGAAGGGGGTGGGTATAGGAACCTCTTTCTAAACAGGAAAACATGGATAGAATACATTTACAAATTAGTGTAGTCTGTGTATGGGTGAGCGTGGAGAAATACATGGGTGAGGGTATCATGGGTAGTGAATGTCTAATAACACAAGAACGAACAAAATAGGGATACAAGCAAAAATCAATACACATGAGATTCTAATTGTAGATATTTATAAAAACTTTGTAAAATTTTGGAAGATGATTAAAATTGAAGAAAACTGGTTCATGAGCTTAAAAATGAAAATTGACCCTCATGTCTTGAGGTATTAAAGAACTTGAAGTTTTTTTATTAAATCTAACAATGCTTACCTTAAGGTGACAAATTCTGAAAGAAGTGTCTTAACAATGATTATGCTTTTTCTTAAGTTTCCTTTTGTGTTATTCATTTTGCTCTTTGAGGGATAATAGTTTATATCTGTTAATCTTTTTATTAGTTGATAATTTCCTACCCTGCTTTCTTTAGTTTCTTTGTTCATAAACTCTACTGTTTAACATTAATATTTAACATTAACATTTAACTGTTTCGTTCAGGGCCAGGAATTTATCTCTGTGGCATGGCACCTACCTTGCAAACACAAAGTCCTGAGTTCAATCCCCAGCACCAAAAAAAAGATTCTTCTTTAAAGATTATTTTGAGAAAATTCTCATTCTGAACTTGACAGCAGTGTGTAATACATGCAGTGGTTGTGCTGATATAAGCCGACTGAGAATATTTCTTTTTTCTCTCCTTATCACCATAAAGAAAAGTTGAGTGGCAGCAATGCAAACAAAAGACAAAAAATTGATCAGGACTTTCTCAGCTCTATTGACCAAACAGGAGAACTTTTGGCAATGTTTGAAGATGATGAGATTGATGAAGTTAAACAAGAAAGAATGGAGGTATAGTACATTCTTCCCATTTTACAATAATAGACAACCTTAAAAGTGCCTCTCCTACTTGGTTCTATTCTTGTGAGCTTTCAATGTCTGAAATCTCCAAACCAGTGATTTTATATCTGATGGCAGCAGTATACAGAGGAACTTTTATTTCCTCCTTGGAAAATGAAAAGGTTTACCTATTCTTGATCTGAAACATGTTTGTGTTATTTTATTCCGTTAAAGAGAACTTATAATTAAATATTTATTTTTTGTTGCAAATTACCCAGTTATCTTGGTGGAAAAGGTACTTTTTACTGCTTTTGTTTTGGCACACAGAATGAAGAGTTGTTTTTCAAATGATTATTTGTATGCTATGGTTGGACTCATTAGCTCAGGTAGTTGGCCAGTTCATTTACATGCTTTAGTAAAACTGAAACACAATGTTAAAGACCTGTGTTTGGATTTCTTGGGTAGGTTTTTGCAACGAATGTGAAAATTGTATGTCCTCTACCTTTGAGTGCCTTCCAAAATACAAAACAGTATTCTTATAATTCTTATCACTATTATTATACTTTACATGTGAGAAATCTGTTTCCTGTCCCTCAATTGAGCAAGAGACATAATTCCATAATTCCAAAAGATATGTAAGTGCCTACTTTATCATAGTCTCTATGCATGCTAAAAATATAATTATTTCATATTAAATTTTGGAGGAAGTCCAATAGATGTGCACAGTTTGTAAACCTTAGCAACCTTCTTTAAAGAATTAGTATGCTTAGCTCATAAATTGTGATCTGAAGGCACTGTTTTTTAGGTATCAATTACCTTAGAAATGTGTGGTTATCTTGGTTTGGGGCAACTGCAAATGGTTATCCTTCAACTTTGCCTTGGGCCAAAAACATACTAAGCTGTCCAAAGTAGATGACAAACATGTATTTCTGATGTCATTATGGCCTAAACAGGATATGATTGTTTAGTAGCATGGTTTCACTTATAATGTGTTACACCGAAAGGAAATGTTGTTTATTCTTTATTTTTCAAAACTTTTTTATTCTGAAAATGGGCACTAAAGAAAAGGTCATTAAAGTAGCATTTCAGTTTTGATGGGAAAATCTCGGCTAACCAATCCTGTTGCCTAGAAAGAAAGAAATGGAGGGTTTGTAAAACTCAGCTCATAATCATGGGCTACCATCAGACTAGAAAAATGATGAGTCAGGGAGGTACTAGTTAAAGTCAGTAAAATAGATAGAAGTGCAAAATAGAAAAAAAAAAAAGCTTGAACACTTTGTACAGTTTGCATCCCACCTCCATAAAGTTAGATATTACCTAGTAGTAATAAGCAGAGTAAAATTTCATTAGTTGATAAAAATGAATGGCTACAGTGGAAATCTGTTTCATCTATACAATAGTCATGAGATTGGCAGCTTCTTAAAGCCTTCTATTGAAATAAAATCTTCTCTAGCCAAGTTAACAAAGAGTTGTTTTGATACTCCACTCATCCAGATAACAGAGTTTAACTGAATAAAAATGATGGCCTTGTAGACATACTGTAGACAGCAGAAGTGGAACCATTAAGATCAGGGCTCTTGCCTGCTTCTAATTTGACAGATTACAGTTTCAAGAGTAAACCACAACTGTGGCAGTCCATATGAAACCACTTTGGACTCACAGACTGCAATCTCATGCATTTAAAGTGCAGCAGAATAATCAGCCCTGGCATCATTCAATGATTTAATTTTCCTCCAAGCATCACTTAGGGTTGTAGAAACTTTATTTACTACCTTCTCCTAGAGAATGTATGAAAATGGTATAGACCAACCAACAAAGCCTAATTTGGTTTTCTTTCTTTGTTGTTCTTAGAAGTTTTTTCCCCCCATTTAAATGTAATTTAAAAGAGAAAAACTTACATATCTATAAAAATTCACTGGGGGTGCCATCTTTCTCTCAAAGCATTGGGAAAGCATATGAATAGCAGTCTGTGCTCTTCCATGGGGTATTCAGTTGATGTTCACGTGCCTGGCTTTCTGTTTCTCTTGTAAGGGACTTCATTATTATTAAGTTTTATAGGATTTGGCAAATGGAAAGTGAATTTTCATTCATTTTGCCTTGCTAGTCTATCATTTTGATAGTTAATGAGCTCTGCCCTGTTTCTTCTCCATCACCAAATTTCTAATACTTGGGTTTATCTGTTGGAGCGATCCATGGCATGATCCCTGATAATATAAGAAAATGGAAAGATATCACTCATTCCTGGGTAGGAAGAACCAATATAGTTAAAATGGCCATATTTCCAAAACTGCTATACACAGTCGATGCAATCCTTATTGAAATTTCAAGAGTATATTTCAACAGGACTGGAAAAAAAAATACAAAAATTCGTTTGGAGCCAGAAGAGACCTAGAATAGCAAAAGCCATTCTAGGCAAAAGAGACATGGAAGGGGCTATCACAATCCCCAACTTGAAACTATACTACAAAGCCACTGTGATAAAACCAGCATGGTACTGGCAAAGAAATAGACCCAAGGATCAGTGGAGTAGATTAGAAGATGCAGAAACAACTCCAGACATACTCAGCTACCTCATCTTTGATAAAGGAGCCAACCATTCTCAGTGGAGGAAAGATAGCCTCTTCAATAAATTGTGTTGGAAAAACTGGATTTCATCTCGCCAAAGATTAAAACTGGACCCCTCTGTCTTTCATCATGCACTAAACTAAAATTGAAGTGGATTAAAGATCTAAATATTAAAACAGAAACAGTAAACTTTCTGGAAGATGAGTTAGGTAGAACACTGTAAGATACTGGCATAGGAAAAGACTTTATGAACAAATCCTCAGCAGCACAAGAAATTGCACGAAGAATCAACAACTGGGATCTCATCTTATTAAAAAGTTTCTGGAGAACAAGAGAAACAAACCGAGCTAAGAGACAACCTATAATGTGGGAAAAAACTTTTACCAGTTATTCTTCTGACAAAGGACTACTATCTAGAATATATAAAGAACTCAAAAAAATCAGACCTCCCCAAATATAAAGACCCAATTAAACAATGGGAATCTGAAATGAACAGACATTTCTCAGACAAGTAAAAGCAGCAAATAAACATGTGAAAAAAATGTTCAAACAAAATGAAAACAACGCTAAGACTCCACCTCACCCCAGAAAGAATGGTTGCTACCAAGGGGCTTGGGGGAGAAAGGAACCCTTCTTTATTGTTGGTTGGACTGCAGACTGGTGCAACCACTGTTGAAATCAATATGGAGATACCTTAAACAACCAGGATAGGAAGTCCCATTTGACCCAGCCATCCCTCTGCTAGGTATCTTCCCAAAAGAATTAAAAGAATCTTACCAGTGATATATGCTCACCCGTGTTCATAGCGGCATAGTTCATAATAGCTAAAACTTGGAAACAGCCCAATTGCCCTTCAACTGGAGACTAGATAAGGAAGATATTTATAAAATGGAGTACTACTCAGCCAAAAAGAATGAGAAACTAGAGACATTTATAGTTAAGTGGATGCGCATTGAGTAGGACACACATGTGTAAATACCATATAGTTTCTCTGGTGTAATAAACTAAAAGCATAAATATAAAGGGTCAAAATAAATATTTGATATTTTGTAATAGAAAAGGTCTAAAGGTATTGGGCAAATGGAAGGGGTAGAAGAAAGGTAAAAAGGGAAGAGAAAAGGAAAAAAAATGGAAACAAAGTCTTTGTAAATAGGGGAGAGGGGAAGAAAGACTAGGGGAATGGAGAAAAAATAAGAACCAAGATATGTCATGAAAAGGTACAAGATCCCGATGATGAATGTAACTGTATTGTATATCTAAAATGTACCAATAAAAAATATTTTTAAAAAGAAAGAATTTAAACAATAAAGCTTCTAAATAGGATAAGAACTATAATTTTATGTTAGTAAAACATTTTGCATATAATGAAGATAAAAATATTAATTGCTTCTCGGCCTTTTGGCTAAGATCAAGTGTAGTATCTTATCAATTTAATAAATGAAAAATAATAGCCCTCAAATTTCTGAGCATTCAAACATAACAAAATTTTGAAAGTATAGGCAGAGCTCACACAAAAGCATTTTTGGTAGAAATTGGAGCAAACCACTTTGAACATTTGGTAAATTGACTGTCTCAAATTTTTTCAAAAGGCTGGGGATGTAGTTTAAGGTTAAAGCATTTGCCTAACATGCATGAAGCCCCAGGTTCAATTCCCAGTACCAGTTCATACACACATACTAGCAAATCACATTTAATAGAACACAAAAAGATCCTTTAATCAAGTTGATTTCACCCCAAGGAATGAAGGATGGTTGAATGTACACAAATAATTAAAAGTAATGCATCAGATAAATAGGATGACACATAAAAATCTTATGATCTCCTCAATACCTATAGGAAAAGCATTTGATATAATTCAACATGCCTTCATGATAAAAGCTCTGAATAAAATATATAGAAAAATTGTACCTCCGTATACCAAGGGCTATCTATGACAAACCATAGCCAGCATTACACTGAATGGGGAAAAGCTGAAAGCATTTCCTCTAAGGTTAGGAACATGATAAGGATAAGTCCATTCTCACTTCTTTTTGTTAATAGTCCTAGAAGTTTTAGCCAGAGCTAAAACTGGGCAAGTGAAAGAAATAAAAGGCATGCAACTAAAAGGAAAGGTTAAATTATCCCTATTTGTAGAAGATGTAATTTCATATCTAGAAAGTCCTAAAACCTTCATCAGAATACTATTAGAATGGACAAACTTAGTAAAGTTTCAGAATACAAAAACATAGAAATCATTAGTGTTTTTATACACAAATAGCAAATTTGCTGAGAAAAAAATCGTAAAAGCAGTCTCATTCACAGCAGCACACACAAAGTAAAATACCTAGGACTGAACTTAAAGAAGTGACAAACCTTTACAATGAAAATTCGAAAACCCTAAAAAAAGAAATTGAAGGAGACCAACAACAACAAAAAAAGGAAAAATCTTCCATGCTCATGGATTGGAA